ATTCCAGCTTGCAGGACTGGCCTAGGGTAATTTTTAGGGGGGTTTTAATTATATTTTAATTCGACAAATATTTAATATTCTTTTTAATTAATTTTAAATTTGTATTGTCTTGTATGTATTTTAAATAGATTGTCAGCCGCCCTGAGTCCTACGGGAGAAGGGCGGGATATAAATTCAAATATAAATAAATAAAAATAAAAGATTCTTTGGCAAATCTAATTCAACAGTCACAGGGTTGATAAGGCGCTTAACAGGAAAAGGTCTTATAAATTTAGGCCCCAATTTCTTTGAAGGTTGTAGAGACTATAAATATTTCGTAGAGAGGAATACACGGTCCGCAACTTTGTACGGTTTCTGTTCTACCCTCCGTTTGTCAGCTTGGGCTTTATAGGCCTCCCTGGCTTCATCCAGGGCCTTCCTGACCACTGGCCAGGTGTTTTCCAATTGTTTGATCCACTCCTGCAAGGAGGGGATCTCAGGTTCTTTGGTGAGGAGTTCAGGCATGGCCACAAAGGTTTGACCATTTGCTACTTGAAATGGAGTGAAACCAGTACTAGAGTGTACAGCAGATATGTCAAACACAAGGCCCGGGTGCCGGATGCGGCCCGCGAAGTGGTTTCATGTGGCCCGCGAAGCCATCCTGGAAACAGTGAGGGAACGGCCCCCTCTGCCTTGGCCCTGGCCCAGGCCAGCCAGGAGCCAATGTACAATTTTGTGGTGGCCATCTATGCTGAAACGCATTCAGTCTTAGCACCACAAGGTCCTGCCCTGCTGCCCTTTCACCATCCCCTTGCCCCCTCCTCCTGGCCTATCCTGGGGGTCTCCCATCCTATTGCTAAGGAAGCTTTGGATACAAAGCCGGGTCTCCTCCCATGGAGAGGGAATGGGCCTCCCTGACTTTGCCCTCGTACCCATCATGAGCAACCTGGGTAAGGAGAGCACAGTAGCAGAAGCCTTGAGGAGGTAAGTGCAGCTGGGCACCCCCTTGGGGAAGTGGGGCTGGGCTTGGTGCCGTGGGTGCTCGAGGGCCAGGCTGGGCATTTGACCTCTGCTGCCCAGGGCTCCGTGCAGCCCGCACCACCATCCAGCCCCCCCGCATGGCCTGAGAGGAACAGTGAGGCTCCTCCAGTGGACCATGCCTTGGCACTTGTCCTGGTCCCACCCCCTTCTGCCAGAGACCCTCAGATCTGTCCCACTCCTGCCCAGGCCCCCACAGGCACCCTTGACGCGAACGATGTAGAGCTGGCCATCCCCACCCAGTAGGCCACACCCACTCCATCCACGCCCACCCAGTAGGCCACACCCACCCGCCCCCCCAAGGGCAACCGCAATGCTGATGCGGCCCTCAATGAAATTGAGTTTGACACCCCTGGTGTACAGCATTATTACAGGCAACCTCAGCAAACGGTAGCAGGTTGGTCCAATTGTCTTGTTGGTAATTAATAAAACATCTCAGGTACTGTTCTAGAACTGAGTTAAGTCTCTATGTCCCCCCATTAGTTTGAGGATGGTGCAAAGATGATAGCCCCTGAGAAGAACCCATTAAGTCCAGAAAAGCCTTCCAGAACTTAGAAGTGAATTGAATTCCTCGGTCTGAAATTATACGTTGCGGGGCTCCATGAAACCGGTATATGTTCTGCACAAATAGTTTAGCTAAAGTTTTTGCAGTTGGAATCTTAGGGCATGGGATGAAGTGAACTTGTCTGGAGAACAAGTCTGTTACAACCCAAATTACAGTGTTGCCAGCACTTTCAGGAAATTCTACAATGAAATCCATAGAATTCTCTCTCCAGGGTGCTGACAGACTCGCTACTGACTGCAGCAGACCTGGGGATTTCCCTTGTCGCCTCTTGGCAGATGCCCATGTGGGGCAGCTGGCCACATAGCTTTCTATGTCCTTTTTCAATGCAGGCCACCAAAATTGTCTCTTAATAAGATGTAAGGTTTTTACAAAACTAAAATGTCCAGCAGTTTTCAAATCGTGTTCTGCTTGCATCACTTTTAGTCTCAAGGCTGCTGGGACATAAAGTTTCTCTCCAATCCACGCTAATCCATCCTTTAATGTACACAGGTTATAATGGTTACGAAACCATTCATCTGTTTCTAAAGTGACTTTAAATTCCTGTATTAAAGTACTTATAACAGGTTCCACTGGTTTTGATTGGGCGCTGATGGTTACCGGGACCGCCAGTTGATGAGGATGCAGAAATGGTTTGGCCACTTCTACTTTCTTACTGTTATATTGTTGTAACCTGGATAAGGAATCAGCCAGAAAATTCTTCCCCCCAGGGAGATAATGAATTGTAAAGTTGAAACGATGGAAATGTTGGGACCACCTTGCTTGTTTAGGGGAGAGTTTTCTGGGTGTTTACATGGCTTCAAGGTTCTTATGATCAGTCCATACTTGAAATGGTATTTTATTTCCTTCAAGGAAATGCCTCCAAGTGAGCAAAGCCCACCGTACGGCATAGGCCTCTCTCTCCCAGGCTGCCCACCTCTGTTCAGTCTGACAATTTTTTCGACGTGTAAGCACAAGGTTGCAATTGTCTATCTTTATTTCTTTGGAGCAAAACTGCTCCCACAGCCACATTGCTGGCATCAGCCTGAATTATAAAGGGTTGTTCTGGGTCCGGATGTTTCAAAACCGGCTCCATAGAAAAAAGTCTCTTAATTTTCTCAAAAGCCACTTGACATTCTCCTGTCCATTTTAATGGTTGACTAGGCTTTGGCTTATCCCCCCCTCTGGTCTTTAACAGGTTCGTGATTGGGAGGGCAATCTGTGCAAAAGATGGGATGAACTGTCTGTAGAAATGTGCAAATCCTAGGAAACTTTGGAGTTGTTTCCTGGTTTTGGGGGTGCCCAGTCTAAGACTGCCCTCACTTTCTCTGGGTCAATCTCTATCCCTTCATCTGATATGCGATAACCCAGATAATCAATGCGATCTTTGTGGAATTCACATTTTGATAGTTTGGCATACAGTTTGGCAGAGCGTAGTTTTTTCAGTACTGCTCTGACTAGCTTAATGTGCTCATCTTTTGTTTCCGTGTAAATGTGGATATCGTTCAGGTAAACTAGAACCCCCTTATACAAGTGATCACATAGGACTTCATTGATCAGTTGCATGAATACTGCAGGGGGCCCCTGTAGTCCAAACGGGAGAACTTTAAATTGGAAGCAACCCAATGGGCAATTGAAAGCAGTTTTCCACTCATCACCTTTCTTTATTCTTATTCTATAATAAGCCTCTCTCAAGTCCAGTTTTGAGAAAAAAATTCTTTTCGATAGGTGCGCCAACATGTCTTTCATTAAAGGCAATGGATACATGTTTTCCATGCAAACAGCGTTGAGGCTTCTATAATCCATGCAGAGACGAAGAGAGCCATCTTTCGTCTCTCTGAATAACACAGGGGCTGCTACCCAGGGTCTAGCTGGCTCGATAACCCCCCACTCTAAGTTCTTTTTGATAATTTTTTCCAGTTTGTTCAACTCTCTAGGAGTCATTGAGTACATTTTAGGTTTTGGCAATTTCGCCCCTGGGATGATTTCTATTGCACAGTCTATGGGTCGGTGAGGGGGGAGTTCGTCCGCCCTCTGCTTGCTGAAAGCTTCAGCCAAATCTCAGTATTCCATTGGGAGGCTTTGCAAGTCTGACTCACTGAGGGTGAAGGCAAAATCACAACATAATCCACATCTCCCGCCGTTTTCTTTAGTGATGGGCAGGGCTTGCCCCTGTGGGAATCTCAGTTGCCCTTCCCTCCAGTTGATCATGGGGTTCCAATTCTTTAGCCAAGCCAGTCCCAGAACTAATAGCCACTCCATTCCTGAGGCCACAATAAACGTTAAAGTCTCTGTGTGGCCACCCAGGTCGATGTATAAGGGTCTGGTGGCAAAACTAGCAGGTACCCCCACTGCAACACAACCATCCAGTTGGCAAAAAGTAATTGGAGTCTTAAGTCTCCTGAGGGGGATCCACATTTTCCCCACTAGTTCTGGGCTAATCATGCACAGGGTACACCCCGAGTCCAGCAAGGCTGCTAATTTCACTGTCCTCCCAGTGCCGGGTATGGAAAGTTCTAGGGGCACTGTTATGGGGTCAATTGGCCCACTCACCAATGGGTTGTCCCCGTAGTCGTCCTCCGCCGCTCCTGGGTCATCGTAACGTGGAGTCGAAGCTCGACCCTCTTGATTGCAATCCCAGGGGAGCTCTATGACTTCCTCGGATCTCATTGCAGTCTCCCTGGGGCACGATAGGGTTCTCAGGGGTCTCCCGGCCGGTAGATGATCCCCTCTCTTGGCAGGTGTTTTACTGCGGCAATCCATGGTGCAATGTCCCTCTTTGCCACATTTGAAGCAGGCAGTGCTGCGAGGCGGGGCAGGTGAAGCTCATGTAGTCTCCCCTCGCTTCTCGGTCTATTGCTTGAAGCTTGGTCTCACCGGGTGATGCAGATGCTTGCGTTGATCAATCTCCCCTTCCTCAGCTAGCAGGCACCAGTCATACAGCCGCCCTGGGGCTCCACGAGCTACGCAGGCATTGTACAGCTCTTCATTGAGTCCATCCTGGAAACAGCTTACCAATATGTCCTCTGGCCAGCGCAGGCGACTGGCCAACACTCTGAACTCCTCGGTATACTCAGCAACTGGTCTCCTTCCTTGCTTCACTGTCTTAATCCACTCCCAGGCTTTCTTACCAGCCAGCCAGTATTCGAAACGCCTGCGGAGTACAGCCATAAAATGATTGAAGTTTCTCAATTCGGGTGTGTTGCAGTTGTAAAGGGTCACCATCCAATCAGCTGCTCCACCTTCCAGAGCCAGGGTGACCACACAAACTTTCTCGACATCGGTAGGCAGTGTTCTCCCATAGATCTGCATGTAGGTGAACAAACTTCCATCAAACTTCACTCCGATTGGAATTGGTTTCACTTTGGCTGGCTGAGGAGGTCTGCCTCTGGCTCCTTGAGATGGACGGCCCCGCCGCTGTGCTGCCTCCTGGGCTCCAGCCACTGCCGTCTCTCGGAACTCCGATTCCCCCTCCGACTCTTCTTCCGACTCACGGCTTTCCTTCAGCTGCATTTTAAATTCATCAAGGGTCTTTTTCACATACTCCATCACCACTTCCATTGCCCCCGATTTCGGTTCCTCCTTTTCTCCATCTTTGTCAGGAGGGGCAGGCTCTGGATTTTTCTTCTTTGCTTTTTTCTTTCCTCCACCTCGAGTAAGAGCGACTTTTGGGGCTTTGTCCTCCCATCCTTCCTTCTTTCCAACCCCAAGTGACCATCTGGGTCGATCTTCTTCACCAGAAGGTCCGGCCTCTTCCAGGTCCCTGGAGAGGCTCTCATTGGCTTTTAGGCAGAGGAGAGCTTCGGACCATTTCTCCGCCTGGAACTCCTCCATGTAGAAATAGTTTGCGACTAGGGCAGCAGCTTCTTCGGGTTGAGTACTATGCAGATCTCACCTTATGTAATGACCCAGTTCAACTAACCACCCAAAAAAGCAGAACTCTTGAAACAGGCATTTTCTCAAAAGGATACTTTTATCTGGGGTCAGTGACAGTAGGGAAGTCAAGGTGAGATCTGGGGGAAATCCTGCGCAAATGGTATAGTTAAGCAAGCAATATTCCTCCTCCCACCAAAGTCATAATGTCCATTTGAAATTTAGCCAACCCACAGGTGGTATGATGTGTGGGTAACTGGCACAGTTGGCACGCATCTCAAGGTCTTCTCCAGCTTTCGTTTCTCTGTAACCGTCTCCCTGATAAGGGAGATGCATTCCTTTCTCAAGGATGGAGGCAGGAGAGGGAAAGTAGAAAGCAAAAGTTATCCCAAGCTTCCCCTCCCCCCAGCAGAATGGCAGGCCCCAAAACTAGAATACATATGCAAAGGAAAACACAGAGGTTTTGGGGACCTGACACCCAGATATATTGGAAGACAAAGTAACACTGACACTGAAACAGATGCCAAAACAAAAAGGCCTGGAACCAAAAGCATCCATCAAATTCTATCAGAATTGCTTAAATCAATAAAAATAGCAGTACAGGTAGTCCTCAACTTACAACCATTCATTCAGGGACCATATGAAATTACGACGGTGCTAAATGGACTTACGACCTATGACCAAAGTTATGGCTGTTGCAGCACCCCCGCGGAAAAGTCATTGAAACCTGGGCAATTGGCAACCTGTTGACAATTATGACCTGTTGCCAAGTGCCCCATGATAATGTGGTACCCATTTGTAATCTTCCCTGCTGGCTTTCCCAGAAAGCCAATGGGAAGCCAACAGGGAAGGTCACAAGCTGCTGCCACCTGCTGAGAGGACTCCCTCTAGACTCTGGGGACTGTTTGAAAAAGGTCTGTGGCAAAATCCAAGCAGGATTTTCAGCAACGTAGGATTTTCAGCCACAGTAGAGAAAATTCAGAAGCCTCTTGACTCTGGGGCTGAAAATCCAAGCGGTTATGAGGCCCTTGCACACCCTTACTTACCCTCCCATGTACCTCCTCACTCTTTCCTCCACCCGGCAGCGCCTGGTGCTTGCAACTTCCTGCTGACTTCCCCACTGACTTGACTGTGGGAAGCCAACAGGAAGTTGCATCACCTGATGACCATGGCATTCACTTAACAATGGCAACCAGGACTATCGGGATTGCTGTCACTAAGTAGTCGCACTTTACAACTTTACATTGCTTAGCATCAGAAAATTCCCATCCCAACTGTGGTTGTAAGTCGAGGACGAGGACTATCTGTAATTACAAAACTATGTCAAAAAAGCTGGACAACCAGTAATTTTGCAGCCCAATGACTGCAAAAGGACAGTGTTCATTCTAATCCCAAAGAAGAGTGACTCACTTCTATTTAATTTTATATACAGTGTTTACGAATCTTATAGAGAGAGGCAGGGGTGCCTATCCTAAGACAAATTTTAGATGAACTGGAAATTGGAATGACGATTAGTGGCAGAAATATTAACAGTCTATGATATGCAGATGACACCACTCTATTGTTACAAAATGAAGAGGCTATAAAACTTATCCCAAAAGTAGGACTTCTGGTTTTGTGCAATAGTGCAGCAGCCGAGAGATTGCGGAGCTCCGTACCCTTCAGCTGATTTTCTTCCTGTTAGGGGACCCTAAATGGGCCAGAAGTCACACCGAAGAGGCGGCAAAGAAGGAAGGAAGTCCCGTGGACCACAGAGAAATGGCAGTTGACCCGATCGGTCCAGGAGAAGCCTTCCAGAAACCAACAGGAGAAAGACAAGCCTAACTTCAGAGTCTAGCCCAAGCTACAAGCAACCAAAGTCAAAAAGTACTACTTTAAGCTGATTGTAAACAGTGCGTTTGAATCTGGATAAGAACATCAATTTTCTCTATCCTACTTATTAACTTTCCTGAAGAAAAAAAAATCCTAAGAAGCAAAAAACGTCCGAAAGTGAAGGAGGGGGATCTTTGCCCCATCCTTTTACTAACAGAAGCAGCGAATTAAATCTTTTATGGAGGACCAAAACACATAGAAATGAAATGAATATAAAACCTAAATTTGGATAAGTTTGAAATTGCTGAATGGTTAAGATTCTCATTTTAGACTTCTGGTTTGGTCTGAGGACGGGACGGATGAAAGTTCCAGCTTCTCGGTCTGGTTTCGCTTCGCCCAGCGTCCCTTAAAGGGGCGGAAAGTTGCCCTGGAGGGGCAACGAATTAAGAGGGACACTCCAGGAGCTTGGATCTGGTGGCGAACAATCTGAACGAACTGAAGAACCCCTCTAAAGGGGCGGAAGAAAGGCTGCCGGGAGAGCCGAGGCAGCCCAAGTCGTCTCCAGCCGGAAGGGAAGCTCCGCAAAACAGCTGATCTTCAACAATGAGCTGAGTCTGGGCGAGCTGAAGTCTTTTCCTTCTCCTTGAGGATTAAAAATGTTGAGACCCTGATGGGGAGAAGCTGAAAGAGTAAAGACCCCCAGAAAGACTAACTCAAAAGCAGCGAGTAATTGTAACAAGGGGAAAGCGGTTTAAGAATATCGGAGAGTGATAAATAAGCCGAGGAGACTTCCGGTTCCTGCATGCAGCGAAGCAGTTGAGAGACTCGGGATTCCGAGCTCTCCATCTGAGTTTCTTTCTGTTAGGGGACCCTAAATGGGCCAGAAGCCGCCCCGGAGAGGTGGCAATGAAGGAAGTCCCAGGCACCTAGGAGAGATGGCGGTCGAACCAATCAGTCCAGGAGAAGCCTTCCAGAAACCAACAGGAGAAAGGCTGGCTTAACTTCAGAGTCCAGCCCTAGCTGCAAGCAAAGGAAGTCAAAAGCACTAATTTAAGCTGATCGTAAACACTGGGCTTGAATCTGGGTAAGAATCATTGATTTTCTCTATCCTACCTACTCTCCTGAAGGGGAGAAACTCCCAAGAAACAAAAAAAATCCTCCGAAAGTGAAGAAAGGGGGTGGGGGGTTGCCCCCATCCTTTTCCTACCGGAAGCGGCAAATTTTAACCTTTCACGGAGGAATAAAATATGAAAAATGAACCAGTGATGACACCTACTGGTGGATGAGGATTATGACAGTCAAGGTAAAACCAGAGGAAAAAAATTAATCTTGCCTGTGACCTTCAAAGTTATAACAAAGTACAGCTGTGTAGATAAAGTGAGACTTGTAAACCTGAGGGAACAAAAATAGAACAACAACAACAACAACAACAAAAAGAACTTTATTCTCTGGACTATAAGTATTTATCCAATTCTGACTCCAAAGCTATTTCCAAAGTGGGGGAAAAAATCTGGACTTTTGGTCATTATGGAAAATCAGACATTTATAGGAAATACTTATCAAGAAAAAATGAATACTTTTCAAGAGATATATGTAAAGCTGCAACTAATTCAAAGAACAATGATCTCAAATCACAAAGAAATTCAGAATAACTTTGAAAATATAAGTCAACTTATCTCCAATTTAAGCTTATACCAAAAAAATCCTCAGGAAAATACAGCAGAGAAGGAACAGACAAAACAGATGACTGAACATAAATTTGAGGCTAGAGACTTGAAGATGGAATTCTACAAAACAAAGGAGTATGATCTAATCCAAGTGGAAAAAATGTACAAGAAATACTAGATTTTTCAACACTACAAAATAAATTTGAGGACAAGAAAAAAGATTGGATAAAACATTCTACAGAAAT